CGACGGTTAGAAAATACAGCCTGTTGTAAGCCTCGTGGCGTAACACAAACTATAATGTTACCTTATATCGATCAATTAACATCTCACGTTCGACTCCAGGAAATTCTTATAAAACAATTCAATAACTTTTTATCATTAGTTTATTGATTTTATTACAAAAAATTTTATTGTTCATTCTAGTCAAAGAAATAAATAATCAGTGATGTTAAATAAGTATTTGAGAAAAAATACTTGATATTTTTTATGATTAAAAAAGAGAAAGAGGAATTTGTTATCCTTATTTGTTTCCTTTTCTTCTAGCGTAATTAATATTGATTCGTATATACAAAAATAAAGTTTTTGATAGTAATAAGATATATCTGTACCATTTGTTCATAAACTTATATAAACATAGAAATATATACAGATTTACAGTAATTTATTTGGCAATGCCAACAATTCCGCAATTGGAGAAACAGTTGTTTTCTCATGAGTTATGTGACATTTCAAAACGCTCAAAAGTTTTTGATATAAGAAGGAATGTCTATAAAATAAATAATATATAATTAAAATTTCCTACTTTTAACAGATACGAAATAAAAAATCTGAATTACTACCTGCTAGCTGGTTTACATATAGATAAATGATCTTGAGCAATTTCATAGAATTCACCTACTCCAGGATCTACGTATAAGCATTAGAATTTTTGTTAAAAGTTCAATAATATTATATAGAATAATTTTCATTGTATACGTACCTGCTGAATTAGAAGTAACAAATTGAAATGGAACATTTAATGGCGTTACATGGGTAGATTTAGTTTCACTAAAACTAATAATCTCTATGGGATAATCTTTCAACATATCGAGGAATTCGTTATGTAATTTTAATAATTGTGGCGACTCTAAACATAAATCACATTATTTATAAATATATCTAAAATATTTTTAAACTAACATCATAATACAATTTTAATATACCTTCACGAAGTTCCTGTACTTCGATCGATGGCCATAGTACCATTTGTGTTGCTTGCTTTAATGCTGCCACGCGGGAACCACGATGTGGAGTACTATAAAATACTATACCACGTGTATTTTTACATATATTATTTTCATCACCATTCCTCCATTCTATAAAAAGAATAGTTGTATATATAAATATATAAATTTATATGAAAACGATATTAATATTTTATACTGAAATACGAAAACGATCCTAACCATCCACAAGCATTTTTTTCACTAATAAACCACCCATTGAATGACAAACCCAAACTGTTGGTCGTTTTCCAACACCGGCAATTAATAATTTTTTTATATATTCTTTACTTCTTTTGCCCATAGTGCTTCAAATGAACAAACAATACAAATAAATTACAAATTTTGAATAATTGGATGAAATAGCAACATTAATAATGTTATTTACTTTTTGTCATCTATTGGACATGAAGATGTCCATAGTGACAAATTAGTGTCATAATTTACTCCAATAACTCGAACAAATGGAATATCCTGTGGTAACCAATCTTTAGGCCAACACTGCGTTTTATGCCGTCTATCGTGATAAATTTTCTTCATACACGTATCATTTCTAAAATTGGAAATTCCTAAATATGGAATCATTTCTCAGCAAAACACATAACTTAAAATAATATTATACCCTTGGCAGAAAAATGGTCCATTTCCTCTAGAATTCGTACTTTGCGGGCAATCGTCTAGAATTACTTCAAAATCATGCCCCACTTTATCCCATTCACGTTTCCTCAAATCAGAAGTTAAATCTCTCAAAAAATCTTGTGACTGATCATCTACCAAATTTGAAAAATTGATTCCATCTTGTATAATGCAGGGATCTACAATTTATATAATTAATGTGAATAATTATGTTTAGTAGAGATACGAGGTCTGTTTAGGAACAATATAAGGGTATATCTTTCTATCTGATTGTGCTGTTGTAAAATTATTAGTTAGCAACGATAGGTTATTTTGTACGAGTCGAAGGTCGTGAGAACCACATTTCGAGATGACTAAAAACAGGGCGTTTCTCTCAGATCATAGATCCATGATTCATCACAGGTAATGACCCCTAACACCTCAAATTTGTTTCTGACCAATCATGGTCAGATGCACACTGTTTGCTTGATATGTTTGGTCACATCATTCAGGGTTTATAGGATTACTCATTAAGCTCTTTCGTAAATATTGAAAATCTGGTATTTACAATAGCACACCCAGGTAGAAAGGTATATTCGTAAGTCGGATCGTTTCCAAACGGATCTCGTATACGTTGCAACTAGAATATAATCGTAATTAATTTTAATTACTCTAAAAATAAATTCTATGTTTGTTATGCTAAATTATTATTTATAATACAAACAAACCTACAACTCCAACTTCAGATGTATCTGGATCTCTTTGCCTCCACGTTATAAATACTCCACCAAGTAGTCCATGTAAGAAAATGACATCTAACTTTGTGTTTGCTACAGTTTTGTGCAAAGGATGAAGAAGATAAATACGTCTTGGATATTTATCATTCTCATCCATATCTAAATTTGCCAATGCACGACTGGCTGCTGCTGCCAATCTTATATCACTATTTTGAGCCCATTCCACCAATGTACCAATCCAACCTTTAACCGAAACCATGAATAATATACAATATTTTAAGGAATAAAATAAGGAGACAAAATTGGAGTCTACTTAATATATACCTGACTGAAAAATATCTTGCAAATACATTGAATGAAGTGAAATATTGGAAATTATTTTCGCAAGTAATATACATATGTTAATATTGTCATTGAAAATTTTCTTTATTATCATTAATAATGGAAGACCACCAGCATCGATAATATCTGAAAAGTAGGAAAGATTAGATAAAAATGTTTTAAACTGTTAGATTTTTACTTTACCTTTACTATATGGCTCAAGGCAAGAATGATGGCATAGCGCTTGAACACAATTCTGTAATAATTCTTGATCCCATACTATGGCTGGTGCTATAGCCAGCCCTAAGTTTGTTAAATCGTGATCAAGTATCAGACTGTCCTGTTTTCATACTTTGCAAATAATTAAAATGCGCACAAAATAATTTATATAATAGAAATTTAAAAATTTCAATGAGTATATACTTACAGAATGTATATCCTTAAAGTTTTTATTGAGAAATTGAAGAAGACAGGGATGTGTATTTTCACATAATGTATTTAAGTAAAGAAGCAAGTGGTATACTTTTTCTATTATATCCTGAAAAAAATACAATCTCTCATCAAATATATCTGTTAAATAAACGTAATTACAATAAATATATTATTATACATGCCTGTAAATTATATTGTACATGATGATATGGTGTCTGTAAAAAAAATCTTGAATCAACATTTGGCATTCTTGCAAGAGACACTGCAGTTTTAGCATCCAACATTTGTGCAATATGCCGGTAGTGCCAGTCTATAATTTTTAATTAAAAGCATTTAATTAAAGACTGTTTATATGAAGATTAATGATAGCTAAAAAGAATACCTTTCAAATGCTTTAAAGAATTAAGAGTATTGAGAGCTTTTAAACGTTCTCTGTCATTGCCACTTTGTGCAATATGTAATAGTCTATATGCCACATTACGAGTTAATGACTTCCACCATTTCATTATGATATGAGCAAATGAAAATGATTCTGCTGGTACTGACGATTGTAAATTTTCAACTTTCCTTAACATGAGAACATCTGAAATCATAAGAACAGAGCTAATAAATATCTGGAGCTTAATAAATCATTACAAGCTAATGATAAATACCTTTGAATCGAGGGTCATCAATATAAATATATCGAGTATGTGGTTGGTCCTTGCTCAGAACATTGGTAGGTACAGAGGATTGTAAGATGTGTGATATTTGCCTTAATTGGTACAAAAACCAACAACCCCTACATAAAAAATATAAATCACTCAAATATTAATATATAATATTAATATATCATTAAATTAATGATACATTAATATATAATATTAATATATCATTACATTAATGATTTCTGAAAAAAATCCAATAAATAAAACTAACCCAACCACAACAATGCAGATTCCAGTTGATTTTACATACTCTATATATTTATGGTAAGTTCGTAATCTCATTGTAAAAAAATATTTTATCCTATTAAGAACGTGAGTATATTTGTATAACATTGATGTTTCAAAGGGTATTTAAAAATATATGTATATATATATACCAAATATAGTTATATATATATATATATATA